CACTTGCCGCTCATTTGCACTTTGATATGCAACAAAATGCAAATGATCTTTTTATAATTTTAATGATATTGTAAAAGTTTTAAATTTAAGGGTTTTATGACTGGCAATTAATGATCAGAATGTCTAGCATGCGTCTGGATCCATACGATTTTTATTACCTGTCCACATATTTGTGCCTTTTGCGGCCGAAAGCCCACCGCAGGCATGCCAAAACAAACAAAGACCGTGCCCGTCGCCCACATTTACGCACCCATTGATGAAAATATCTCCGTCTCACGACAAGCCCTTGATCAGCTCATTCGCACACATTTGTGTGTGTGTATCGAGCTCGAAATTCACAATTAACAAGTAAGAGGTTCTAGTCGGAAGCTCCCGACTAGGGGATACCCTGAACCCTCTTCTTCCAACATCAAATGGATATATATATATTCTATTTTAGAAGCTATATGCCAAGTTTGGTGACTCTAGCTCTTATTATTTACCAAAATTGCCCAAAACACAGGATATCGATATCGATTTTTATCGATTGCTTGGAAACGGTGTAAGTTATCGATTATCGGAAACAAACTCGAACTGCGCGGGAACTAGGAGCATCTACATCTAAAATTTCAAGTCTCTAGCTCTTATAGGTTCTGAGATCATTGCGTTCATACATACGGACGGACGGACGGACAGACAGACGGACATAGCTAGATCGACTCGGCTATTGATGTTGATCAAGAATATATATACTTTATGGGGTCGGAGATGCTTCCTTCTGCCTGTTACATACATTTGGATTTTACAAAAATACAATATACCCTTATAAACATTTTTAATGGGTTCAGGGTATAAAAACTAATACATATATATATTACAATAAGGCATTAAACGCAGGGACGTTGTGCACTGAGCGAGATGCGGCTTCATACTGAACGTTCGGTCTTCGAGGCCGGCGTTCGGCTGCCACTCTCAGCAGTCTTATTCTATCTGGGCACACTTAAATGGTCGCAGGCACCCTTGGGGTTCTGTCGTTGCGATTTATCGTTATCCAATAAAAAGGCTGTTTGGTATATCTATGCATTGTATGGTTAGTGGCATAGCTCTTAAAGCTTAAGAGGTATACACAAAGGACAGGAATTTAATATAGATTTTTATCGATTGCTTGGAATCGTGGAACTTTTCGACCATCGGAAACAAACTGCGAGGGCTTCACCTAAGTTCAACATAGTGATATAAGATCGACTTGATTACTGATGTTGGCCAAGAATATATATACTTTATGGTATCGGAGGTGCTTCCTTCTTACTGTTACATACATTTACACAAAACCAACTTTTTACCCATTTTCACTGCATTTAGGGTATAGGAAGATCAGCTTCAACATCAAGGGGGAACACGTCAACGCACCGAAATTTCGCTATCACACGACCGCCAGGTCGGCATGAAGAAAACATTGACAGTAGTGACGAAGAAATTAGAAAAGAATAAAAAGAATTCATAGATGCTTGGGAAATTATAATCGGACACAAAATGGATGCACAGAGAACTTACACACTAGATTGCAGATACATAAAGCTTGCAAATTTCGTTATCTGTATAAAAATGTTATAAATATATTAATCTTCCTTAAGATTCTCCCTATGGACCAACCCCCTTTAATAATAAACTGTATAATTTTGGTCCTTTTCTACTATGCCTTCTGTGCAGCCAACAACTGAACAACGGCACGAGTGTAAATGGTTAAAAACGTCCGTCTGTCTGTCCGTATATATGAACGGGACTTGGCGCCTCTAAATTGTGAACGCAGGTCCTCTTAGTGCCCGCACAGTTGAAGTCTATAGATTATCCCGGTATCATGCAATTGATATCGGAATCCTGTTTTTTGAGAATTCTTTTCGGTTTTAAGAGCAAGTCACAAAGTTTGATGTTTAGCCTCTAGAATGGTATATATATAATATAAAAGGATCATGTATTTTTTTATTTTATGGCCACCGCCGCCCATTGCTAAGCCCCATCGCTATAAATCAAATCAAAAAATCTATTAGAAATACTCACCAAATGGTGCTAATGGCTGTTCTGTAAAAATGGGGATGGTCTATAGTACATTATTATCTACAGCAGAAAATTACAGTATGCCAAGAAAATGTTTTGACAAAGCGAAAAATTCATATTTTCGAGATTAATATGCAATTTAAACTACATACTTTTAATGCTTTATTTTCTACATATTTTATATCGATATATTATTTTTCTTAGAACTATTTAAAAAAAACATATTGAGATCCATTACTCCAAACATTTTTTAAAAATCAAAATTAAGAAGTATCCATTTTTAATGGTGTCAAGAAATTGTTTTGACAAAACGTTTTTAGACCTATAATATTCATGAAAATACGTAAAAACAAGACGCTAATACTTTGTATGACGGCCTTTGGCAGCACATACAGCCTGTAATCTCCGGTTCATAGACTTAACTAGGTTATCCATATTATAAGTTTCAGGAATCTTTATCCATTCTTCAAGAATAGCAGCTTTCAATTCGTCGCGAGATTTCGGACTCCTTTTTGCCACTTTTTTCTTTAAAAAGGACCAAACATTTTCAATAGGATTTATGTCAGGGCTCTGTGGAGGAGTGTCCAATACTTTTTTACAGTTGTATAGCAACCACATCTTTACTATATGATCCTTATGCTTGGGGTCATTGTCTTGGTAAAATTTGAAATTTGGTCTGTTGCCATCAAAAAACCCAAATTTATGAGCGCTACTTATTAAATAAGTCTTAAATATTTCCAAATATTTGGCAGCATCCATAGTGTTTTCAATAAAAGCCAAGTCACCAACGCCCTTGCTTGATATACAGCCCCATACCATCACGGAGAGTTTTCCAAACTTTACCGTCGGTATTATGTTCCGGGCTTCCAATGCCTTTAAGGGCTTCCGCCAGACTCTGGATGGTCCATCATCACAATATAACATAATTTTAGTTTCGTCACAGAATATGACGTCATCCCAATACCCTGCTGGCTTCCTCAAGTGCATTTGCGCGAATGAAAGCCGCTTCTCAATATTATTATTTGAAAGCAGGGGCTTCTTACGTGCAACCCGTAATGTCTAGGCATTGGAATTCAGGATCTTTCTTATTGTTTCATGGGAAACATTGATACCACTTTCTTGCTCAAGATCCCGTGAAATGTTCCTGATAGAAATTTTGGGATTTTGTTCCACTTTCCTCAATATTTTCCGCTCATCACAATCAGATAGTTTTCGCGGACGCCCACTTGAGACCTTTGTGTCTAGTCTATTTTCATTTTTTGCGCGGTCCAAGATGTTATATATTGTTTGTCTGGACAACGAAAACATCTCGGATAACTCTATCACTGTTTTGCCGATCTGGTGGTTATAGTAAACCAATTGGGCAATATTAAAAGATGTTCGCTTCCCTGGCATTTTTGTTTGTCCACAAAGTTCAACACGCGCTCAAAATTTCTTCAGAAAATGCTAACAGAATTCATAGGCAAAGTAAGAGGCAAAATATGAAAACTGAATTCTAACGGGATCGCATCAAAAGCGAATTGCGAAATCGATGACAGTGGTTGTCAAAACAATTGCTTGACACCATTAAAAATGGATTATTTTTGATTTTTTAAAATTGTTTGGAGTAATCGATCTCAATATGTATTTTTTTAAACTAGTTCTTAGAAAAATAATAAATCAATATAAAATATAAAATACATAAAAACATTAAAAGAATGTTGTGTAAAGTGCACCTTAATCTGGAAAATATGAATTTTTCGCTTTGTCAAAACAATTTGTTGACATACTGTATCTCAAGATCGGTTGATTAACGCAGAAGTTATTAAAGAAAACGTGTGGCCATTTTGTCATGTCACATTTACATAATCGGATCTTTTGTGCTATAAATCTAATCGCAATTGAATGCAAAACTCTGTGTTGCTATTTTAATTTAGCTTTTTTTTATGTTACAACTCAATTCTTGGTATGTGTATGAGTTGTATTTGATGTTAGTAGAAGGTTAAGTATATTCCGTAGCAGGTACTCGATTAGAGCACTCTTAGTTTTTTGGAAAGCTGTGACATTCATCATTTGATATAAATACATTTATGAAGCATCCCCGCTCAAAAAATAGATCTATCTAAACTAAATTCAAATTTAAATGTTTCCGCCACATCCGATTAATTAACGTGATGCGAGCATCAGTGATTTCAAACAAAGTTACGTGGAAATGATGAATGCTTTGGAAAAACAAAGCGTCTCTAGCTGCTCTGTATCCAAAGCGTGGGACATCTTTCAACGAAATCGAAATTCAAGAGCCAATCGGCTTTTATGACTTGGGAAGTATAGAGAAAAATACGGATACGTGGTAGACAACATTTATAATAATAAATGGTTAATTTGGCTGAGTTGAGTTGAGTTTATCCCTTAATAAATAGACAAAGAACAATAATGTCAAAACTATTTCGGCCCTTATATGGCCGACTGTCAGTCATATTGAAAATGTCAAGTCGTCGTATGACGCAAAATATGAAATCACTGCAAAACTATCCATTATAACTTATTCGATAGTATAGTCTAATAGGCTGATATAGATAATATAGGCTCAATAGCAATACTGAAATCTAAAACCGCTATAATTAAAGACATAAGCACACGGCTCCTAATAAATAAGTCCATAAAATTTAAAATTTGGCATATTTACACCAACAAATTTATATATGGTAATACATACTATTACAAATGTGTTTAATAGTGTGTGCATGATCACTCTAAAAAAGATTATATGTTTACGTGCAGCACAAAGAGAACAACTCAACCATTTATACATTTAAGCGATCCTTTAGACAAATGAGATCAAATCAAAGCAATTAATCCAATTGAATTACTGAGAGGATCGGCGATCTTGTTCTTTCGCAAAAAGTTTGACGGTTATTGCTTAAAGCTAGGCACCTATAATAATATTAAAATATGCGCTTAATACAATACATTTGTTTTAGTCGTACCTCTTTCGTAATTTGATCGAGCGCATTATCCTCGGCATTAACGCATATATTGTTCCGCCGCCGACCGGCGCCTGTACTGTCCATTGCATTCAAAATTATTATAAACTTTAATGGTTTTCACCTATTAAAATTAATCACAAGTTTTAAATTTAACGTTGTGATGCACCGACGTCAATTATATCAGCTCTTAAGTTGAATTATCCAAAATATCGACTGATCTGAAACAAAAGTTTATTGTATAAATATGTTTCTACTCGTTTCCTATTTTATACCCTTGCAGATAGTTTACAAATTTGTTAGCTATATATTAAACGGTATTTTTATTGTATTTTAATAGTTGCGTCGTATATTGCGGTACATGACGGAGATGGTCGAGTCTGAATATCGAGTAGCTTTAATTAAAACTACGTTCGAATATAAAGTTATATATGTACATATGTATGTCCATATGTACGTTAGTATGCGGAACATATTGTATTTTTTCATTTTGCCTTTGTCTGCAAGGGTCGTTTAAAAATTGTAAGGCTTGCATACATACATCTTCTTGTTAATCCCAATCTTCAGTCAGTATTACTTAATTTTTATTATTATTTATTATTTAATGTAGGTTTGTATATATTTCTTCCTTTTAGTATATTCAGAAAGGAATTAGTTTTGTTTAATGGTAGAAGGTTATATTATATAGTGAGCGATTTAATATAAATTATAAATAAATGTAAAAACTCCTAAAAATAAACGAATACAATATGTTTACAAATTTAGCTTTTACTTCTATTAACCTGAACCTCTAAAACGAGTTTTACTAGATGTACGTCAAGTTAGCATCGATTTTCGGAACATAGATTCGAAGCCGGAATCACTTAATATTTAATGCTTTAAGTGCGTCAAACTAACGACGTGACTTAGGGTCGAGTTTTGGATCCAAAACTGAAATCTCTTACTTTTATATGCATTTATTTATGTTTCTAAGCACATAAGCAAATACAGCTTTAATACAGAATGGTAAAAAGGAAATTGTTTATTATCTACAATCATTTGTTTTTTTCATTTTAATTTATAATATGGGTAAGCCTTAGGGCTGCATAATTAAGTTTTCACCATCTTTTTTTTATCTTAGCTCGAAAACCGCATATACATGATTAAAGACTATAATTTCACCTAACAAACTGTGAAAACTTGGCTAAAGTCGTCGGTACCGTTATTAAGATATTTGGAAATGAGTGCAGCAGCCCTGTTGCCAGCCTCATACAATATGACCGGACAAAATCAACCTTGTCCTTGAGCCCAAATATCTTATATCAGGGACAATTGCCCCCAATGAGCGCTATACCCTTTTGAAGATACATGTTTTAAGAAGCTTTTGGCATTAATTTTTAACAAATACATGGTACAGTGTCTGAGAAAACTATTTAATTGTAAACCAATTCATTCATAAGGTCTGTTGAACAGATAGTTTCTACTGAACCACTGTTTGGATTTAGTGGTGCACAATTTTAAACAGCATATTGGGAAAAAAATAATTCGAAATGTCTGTATTCATGAAAAAACTGAATGGACTCATAAGGAAATAAATAATTCGAAATGTCTGTATTCATGAAAAAACTGAATGGACTCATAAAGAATTAACTTAATAAGTCAAATCAAGATATAAGAGAAGTATGCAGTCATAGCCAACCGTGCAGTTTCTACTGAACCACTGTTTGGATTCAGTGTTGCACAATTTTAAACAGCATTGGGGAAAAAATAATTCGTAATTTATGTATCCATGAAAAAACTGAACGGACTCATAAATAATTAACTTAATAAGTCAAATCAAGATATAAGAGAAGTATGCAGTCACAGCCAACCGTGCAGTTTTTGAGAAAATCGCATTGTTGTTTAATACTCATATTAACGCAATAATAATTGATGGCAATATTTACCTTACATTAAATCTTTATATATAAAACTGTTTGTCCTGACTGACCGACCGTCTGAATGATTGGTGATCAACGCACAGCCCAAACCGTAAGAGCTAGGAAGCTGAAATTTTCACTGTAGTTACCTTATGTGATGAAACTGCACGCTAAGGTGATGTTTCGGATAATTTCCACCCGCTAGTATGAAAAATCGCGAATAACGTTTGTATGAAACTTTTTTCTTTACCATCCGATCGGCGTCAAGCTCAATTTCAAAGTTCTTTGTTCAAACTTATTTGATGGGTGTTTTACACTTTTCCCAAAATGTATTTCTCCCTAGTGGAAATGGGGGTCACAGATTTGGTGGATAACGTTTCGCTCTCAAACTCATTTTCACGGATCTAATTAAAAATAATTTTCAAAGCTTTTCGAGAACCTTTATTTTGTACGTACCATGGACAAGGTTTGGCTATACCCGCTAGTTACAAATATAAGGTGGTAATATTTGAAAGTATTTGCAACTATATTTACTATTTTTACAGATAATGGCCCACAGTAGTTTGCATATAGAGCTCGATTTATCAACCATTTTCTTTTTTATACCCTGAACCCATTAAAAATGGGTATAAGGGTAATGGTATTTGTGCAAAATCCAAATGTATGTAACAGGCAGAAGGAAGCTTCTCCGGACCCAGAAAGTATATATATTCTTGATCATCATCAATAGCCGAGTCGATCTAGCCATGTCCGTCTGTCTGTCCGTCCGTCCGTCCGTCCGTCCGTATGTATGAACGCAAGGATCTCAGAACCTATAAGAGCTAGAGACTTGAAATTTTAGATGTTGATGCTCCTAGTTCCCGCGCAGATCGAGTTTGTTTCCGATAATCGATAACTTACTCCGTTTCCAAGCAATCGATAAAAATCGATATCGATATCCTGTTCTTTGGGCAATTTTGGTAAATAATGAGGGCTAGAGTCACCAAACTTGACATATAGATTCTAAAATAGAATCTATATATGCATTTGATGTTGGAAGAAGAGGGTTCAGGGTATCCCCTAGTCGGGAGCTCCCGACTAGAACCTCTTACTTGTCATTTCATTAAAATCAATGGTACAGTTTTTGAGAAAATCGGATTTTTGTTAATTTTTACTCAAATTGTAGCTCAAAAATAATGTCGTTGGCAATATAAAGTTAATGTAGTGAACAAAAATATTGTGGAAATATTTAATATTATATATATTTTTCACAGATAATGGCCCAAAATGCACGGTAGTTGTGCATATAGAGCTCGATTTATCAATCAGTTTGAAAAAATCAAATTTTTATATTTATCTCAAAATAATACTCTATGTTAATGCAAAAAAAAAAAAAAATGGCTGGTAATATTTCATTTCATACTATAAAATGGTAGCCATATTTAAACATATTTCAAATGGTGGCAATATTTGTGATTGGTATTTAGGAATTAGCTCTAGGAGTGTGTCAGAAAAATGTAGGTCTGTGCAGGCAGAAGTAGGCTCACTAGTAGACCAAGGACCAGCCATGGATACATCCATTGATGCAGCCGCAGCAGCAATCTAATAAGCCGCTGGATAATATTGAAGGGCCATACAAGAATTTTTCTCGGTACCTTAAAATAGACGGTAGAATATAATCCATCTACCGTCAATAAGCTTAGCTTGAAAAATTAATTATAAAAATCAACACATACATTTAAAACAGAAAAATATATATTTAGTTATTTAATATTTTTCGTATGGCTCAAAGTAAATTTTTTTGTATGCAATAACTTTTAGTTATCCTGATTAATTAGTTTATTTTTAAACATACAAGATTTAGTTTTCCTGAATTAGTAGTAAATCGATGCAGTTCTACGATTCGTCGTCGTGCCTCCGATTCCCTGATGATACTCTTACTTATCGGTATCGATAATTCTTAGCTCAACTCGGCGTATCCGCAGCTACCCCCACTTTAGAAAGCAAGTCGGGAGAGAACCTAACCCTGCGGTTATTTGAATAGAAGCCCGACACCTTTGGTTGAGAATCTTTAACAGCATCATGGTCCTTGGTATAAAAGCCGGCTTCAGGCAGTCAGTTTAAACGGCCACATTTGTACCCTTTATATTAATGACAAATGCAAATGGTGGTCTTACTGATTCAGTTCTTCACATGACAGCAGTCATTCATATGTTTGAGCACAAACATGCTCTTGCTGATGCTCAAGTGACCATGCGCATATGCTCTCTGAACGTTTCGATAAAATACTTTGGATGAAGTGGCCTGGACATTTCGACATAAAACTCGTTTGGTAGACGGATATGTTTACCGTAAACCTTTTCGGCCGTTAAAGAAGCCAGCTCTTCCTTATATTTTTTATATATTTATTTATATATATAAATATATGGTCGCCATTCTCTGTGGTTGGTAGAATTTCTGACGTACCAGTCTGGCGCAAGGCCAGATTTTGGGGTGTCTGAATCGGTCTTCGATTTGTCCGCGACGCAATGCTCCAAACCAGGATACCGAATTTCCAAGTTGGCGCCACCACGACATTGTAAACTACCCGCTTGTAGCGAAGTAGCAATGGGCTGTTGGGGTTTAGTAGCCAGTTGGCTTTGGTAATCTTAAAGCAACACTTCTTGAGAATGCCGTCGATATGCGCTCGAAAGGTAAACCTCTTTTGCCAGGATGAAGGGGGCTGCCATCTATCCAGACTGCTTGAGCCTTACCACGCCTGTGTGTAGTTCAGTGTACTTCGAGGCATTGAGCTTGGTGTTCCACTAGCGTTCCCAGCTCTCAAGCAAGTGGGTGTATTCCTGGGCCCCGACAGTGGCTTCGTAATAGCAGTGGGCGGAGTAAAATTTTGCCACGTCATCGGCAAATGTGGCTATCAGGTGTTTGCCCGGCGAATCCATGTAGGTCATCCGAAGTGGGGATTTCTGCCGTATACAAATTGTAGAGAAGGGGGTGTCTTGAGGGACACTCATCAGCAAGCATGACTATGTGACCCATAAGCCTTGCAATTCGGGCGACAATCAGTCTTTCCCAGGCTTTCGACAAGGAAGGCAGGAGACTGATCGGCTGATATGACTCAGGGTCATATTCCGGCTTGCCCGACTTATGGACTAACTATTCTCGCTACCTTATACTGGGCAAGGAAGTTTCACGTCCTTAATATAGCGTTGACTATAGCATGTTCGTAGACCGAACAATACTGTGGGTAGCAGTTCAATTCAAGGTGTCGATGAAGTACACATTAGTGCAGCTTTGAAGGAACGATGTCATCTTTCAATCATTCCATTAAATTGGGGGAGATATGCTGTAGTGTGTATTCGTTTGCTTCCAACCAATTGACTTAACGCTTCTAATAGCGCGGACTGTGCGCCCTGGTCTGTAGTTTTTGTTTTTTGGTATCCAAGACGAGTGATCCCATTCATCGCAGCAACAGTGTCAGCCGATATATCTTTCATTGGAGCAGCCTCAGGCCACCTTGAGTATCGGTCGATCATGTAGCTTTGAAATCCTCTTACTTTTGGAATTACAACAATGTTTAGATGCACACGGTCAGACCGATTGTCCGGCATTTCGAACTTTTCCGGGATCATAGTATTGTGGGGATGGATCTTCGCTCGTTGGCAGGGTAAACAGTTTCGAGCCCACGATGTCACATCGTTCCTCATAAATCGAAACACGTACTTGCGGCGTATTTGCTGATTGGTGGTTCTATTGCTGGGAGGAGAGACATGAATGGAAACAAAAAGGTTATAGCATAGTGGCTGTGGTACATT